AAGGGACTTGAGAATCAGCATCGAGGGAGAAGGAGGAATAGAGGCTGCCGCCTCCTGATTGCAGAGCAGCCCAAGGTCTAAATGGCAACAAAACGTTATACATAATGTCTGATTCACTGTGTGGAGAATGTAAAGAATTGAGACCTCCCGACACAGTTTACATTGGCCCTTTTTATGACTAATTGTGCAGAAAATAGCTCTGCTTGTAGTGTGCATGGAAACAGTTCAGATTTCTGCTGTGTGTCAGCTAATGGCTAGCAAGGCTTTTTTAGCACAACTTCAAAGGCTCTGGCAATGGAGGTCCTTTGTGAGGGAATTATCTCCTGCTCCTTTGTACCCCATTATCCTTCTAAGCCATAGAACAAAGAATTGCAAAAAGAATAGACAAAGTAATTTGTAGTAGATCTCTAAACCTAGATAAAGTATATAACATTTGCTTAAAAACATTTTTTTCTGCCTCTGTCATCAAAACGTGGTTATAATTTTTCTGTGTAGGAACACCCAAGTTCATGTAACTTTTGAGGGATGCAACCTGATGCTTAGGTTATTTATGAGGGTCACTAGGATGTCTGAAATGGAAAAGGAGAGCTTTAGTTTATGTGGTCAATTAGAAAATACATGGCTGTCAAGAGTTGGCTGAGAAGTGTCTTTCTCTCTGCCTCAGGATATTCCACTAAGAAAGGAAGAAAGTGCATTCTTTCAGCAGTGTGTTTGTGCATGGACGTGCTTTAAGGAAAACACATATATTTCACATATTTTTTCATGTTTTGTAGTTAAAAAACCCCTAATTGATGGTTTATTCTTTCTTTCTTCCAGTGAAAAATGAAACTGTGGGGAGATAAGGAAACACATTACATGGATCTGCTTTCTGTAGTCAAAAGAACAGTTCTTAATTAAAAATAAAAAAGCAAACCAGAAATGGAATATCTGTGATTAATGTTAGCAGCCATGCTGTATAATGTGTTCCTCCACTGTCTCCAGATCCTTGTCTCGAAAAAACAAAATGTGAGTGAAAGGAGAATAATCTTGGTCTCGTCAAATTTAGTAAGAAACCCCCTCTTAAGTGCAGCAGCCACACTGACCACTGCACTGTGTTTGTGTTTGTGTTCAAACTACAAAATTACTGTGTTTAGCACTGGGTCTTGTCCTCAGGCAAATCCCATGAGTATCTCCTTATCCTCAGAGGGTGGAAGAATTGCATCCACACCTGGGCATTTTTAATCTTAAACTGTTAGGGGTGGCTGCTTTGCATATCTCCATGCCCAAGTACAGACTTTCTCTTCAGGTCCCTATGTAGAAAATCTTTTATGTCTGCTTTCTCTCCTTTTCCACTTCCATGGATTTCCCAAGGCAGCTGATGTTCTGACCTCTCAGATCCACTTTTCATCAGCTGTCAAGATAAATTTGGTTAATACTGCAGGAATGGTTTATTCAGGTTTAGACTGAAGAGGGAATAGTGATGGAAATGCAAGATCATTCCCTTGCCTCTCTAACCTGTCTGATATATCTCTAGATGCACTAAATTTTTAGTAGTTATACACTCTTGAGGTTTTTCCCAGGCCAGGAAGAGAAATTTTTAAAATATTTAAGCAGAAGCTTACATGCGCACACACACACATACATATATATATATATATATATATATATATTTGTGTGTGTATATATATAAAGCTCATTTTCTTCATATCTATAAATAAAAATTAAATCCACTGATTTTATAAAGAATATGACAGTTACTGCATACTCTGTTTGCACATATGAGCAGCCTCTAATATGCAGGTTATTTTGTTTTCATCACACAGGCTGTCAAAGTAATCTGTTGTTAATATTTAACAAGTGTGTCCTTATCTCAAGTTGTGGGTGACTAGGGAGAGTTATTTTATGTAAGATATTTTTCACATAGAAGATTTTCCTGGATTTTAAAACTCGAAAGGATAATTATGATGGACTTCACAGCAGGAGGCAGGTCAAGACAATTCTTCCAGGAATTTTTTAACCTTTCATGTTTCATGTTACCTACCTACACTGGACCTCTCCAGTGCCACCTTTTTCCTTAAACCTTCCTCTTCCACATCTCTGTTCCTGAGGAACTCCTTGCCATGGGATAACATGGATCATGTTGGCAAATGTCTGTGTTGGGTGGGAAAGACTGCTGGTCTGAGCATGCAAAACTTCATGTTTTCAGTCACTAAAGTAGAACATAATTTCAGGTTGCTTGTGGTGTGCATGATTTGGCTTCAACAGTATTACCATGATGTAAAATGAACAGGCAGATACAAAAACAACCTTGATATGTGAATTCTGACTGGACAGAGAAGTTAAGACAAATAGAAGTCAGAACTCTTCAATCAGATGGAGAGAATGCATTTACAGGACAAGCTGGTGATGAGATGGGTGGTAACTTACACAGACGTATGAGGGATAATACAAGCAGGTAAATTTTAAGCAGAGTCTAAAGGTTAAGTTTTGTAAAGACTTGCTCATGCCATCTCCTAGTAGTTGTTAAAGTTTTGGGCTCTGTTAATGTTTGTGGAATGGAGAATTATTTGGGGGCCAGCTCAAAGTTGGATTTTGGTTTTGATTTTTTTATTTCTTTTTATTTCTGTTCTCTTGGTTGAACTGGAGCATTGAAAATATTTTAGTATGTGTTGGATTGTGAATGTACAAAGAAATAACTGTGATGTTTGCATGGATATTTGTAATTAGGATTTTAATTTATTTGGTAATCTGAAGTTGAGGGGGTTTTAATGGAAGCTGGCATTCCTTCCAGTTAGGAAAGGCAAAATTAAAAGAACAATCCCTGTTGCCATGCTGCCCAGCAGATCACCAGTCCCAGCAGCTGGCAACTTTCAGCTTGGTATCCTCACAGAGGGCAGGATGGGAAGTCCAGGAAGTGTCATCTTTTGGTCTTCATCCATCACTTGAAGGGATTTGCAGGCTCTGCTGAAGAGCTGACATTGTTGACAGTTCTACCATTGTGTGGATGAGGAGTCAGAGCTTTTGCATAGTTACTTTTTTCCCTGAGTTTGAAAGAGTTAAAATTGGTTTCTCTTGTGCTGTCATCTTGTCAAAGATTTGCTGGATTCAGGACAATTATTTACATTAAGAAATCTTTTGGCATTTAAGATTCTGGCTCAGGGAAAATAAAGTGGACTCGGAAACGTCTCGGACTCTGATACCTTTGACTTTGGCTCCTCAGTGTCACTTTGCCAGTGACAGAATAGGGACCTTTGTTTGCCTTGGCCACTGCATAAAAAAACAGGATATGATCAAATCCAGTTAATCATTCACAAATGTCTCATTTCTTGAATCTCTGAGGGTGTATAACACATTTTTGGGACTGTTCTTTGCTGCTTTGGCTTTTGTTATAAGTAAGTTAGAAAGGGGAAAATCAAATTTTGAGTTTTCTTAAAAGGAAGTGGAGGAATCCTGGAACACACTAGGGCTCTGCAAATGTACATTTAATCATTTAAAGAAATGTCTTTTGGCTAAAAGCTCTTACCAGCGCTTGCAAGTTGCACTCAAAGCCATACAGCTACAACGTTCCAACAACTGAGGCGAGTTAGCGCCCTTGTTGGCAGCGGGAGCAGAGGGATGCAGGCTGAGCAAATCCTGGGGGCTGAATGCTCTCAAATTCATCAGGACTTTGTGCAGGGTGGGCAAAGAATCCCGGGGGTGACCCTGCTGGTGGCTGCACCAGCTCCTTCCATGGCGGTGTCCTTGGAGGGGGGACTCAGGCACCTCTTGCCTGCCTTGTTTTTTTTCAGTGCACACCATTTGGCTGTGCTGTGGAGCCAGACAATCAAAATCATCTCCTGCAAACACTTTCACTGTGCTTCAGGCAAGCACATGCTCTCCAAGCAGCAGCAGCAAACCAGAGGAGTGAGTTCTTACACCCCACAGCATAGTGGATCTCCCTCCTCCGAGATGCCACAGGCACGTGGTGGCTTGGGCACATTCCTGGAGAATTGGTCTGTTCAGAGCTGGCAGTGAGGTGCATTGACCTGGGTGTAAATGGGGGTCACCCAGCCCTGCAGAGCTGGGAGTTAATGGATATAATGGAGGAGAATTGTTCTGTTCTTCCTCCATGTCATTCATAGCTGCAGTTGGAGACAGATTACAGTGCCATGTGGATTTTAATAAATCTCTTTGTGGACTTCTTGCTCCCTTACTTTATATATCCAACCCATCCTGCAAACAGTGTGGGACTCTGACAATAAGTTGAAAGCTTTGGCTGGATTACACTCTCTTATTGAGTCTGTGCCCAAAGCCCTCTGAGGGCTCCCATTGACTCCGGTGGGATTTGGTTCAGATTTCAAGTATATGGGACCCCCTTAAGTAAACTCTTTCAAGGCCTGTACACACTGCAATACTTACTGAGCTCCTTGTTACTTCTGTGAATAGGAATGTGACCTTTACACTTCTAACAAAGAGCCCTGAATTACAGGACTAAATCTTCATGTTTTGGGAGAGATAAGGTTACCATCCCAGCTCCTCCCAGCCCCACTGTGCAGGTGGCTGAATGGCTGATGAGGCAGTTCCTGAATCACTGTGGTTTTAGTCAGACAAGTGCTGAACATGCATTACAGCAGCTTGAGTCTCTTCATTAGCAGATGTTCATGAGCAGTGATGGTCAGGGTTGTAAGTTGTTCCATTTCAAAAGTCAAAGCCCTCGAAATACCCTTTTGCCACTGCAGGGTCATTCTGATCTCCATGTTGGAAATTTATTTAATCAGTGTGCATCCTAAAAATGGTCACAGTGGAAGGCAAGACTAGCAACCCATCCCATCTAGGTTTCCTGTTATCCACCCAGTCTCTTGGCCATGTGAGGGGAGGGAGGGATAAATGAGATGAAAGAAGAAAGTGTTTGGGCTGTATGCTGACCCTCTGGTCTAGTTTTTGGTACCCTTGACTCCCAAAGCTCCTGTTCCAACAGGAGAAACTCAAGTGAGTGAGAGTAGTAGTTTGATTGACAGTGCTATTTTCTACCTGTATTTTAGGTCACTTCCTGGGTAACAACACTGTGATTGATGTACTGAGACAAGCAGGATTTGAAGTGGAGCACACCCCTCCTGGACAACCAATTGGAAAGTAAGCAGCTGCCCACAGATTATTAATCACTTTCTCTCCTTTTTTCTCTCCCTTTTTCTGTGACTAAGCAAGATTATTGCATTAGTATAGGAGGTGGGTGAGGAACCTCCCTTTCCCACCCAATTTCCAGACAAAAAGTGCATTGTAAAGCATCCATTGTGTGAGTTTGGAAACATATGGAGCCTGAATGGCTGGTGTTTTTGTGGGTTTTTTCCACTTGGGGACATTATTTATATCACAGCTGCTTCATTATACCAGCTCAGAAGTGCCATGGTTTCTTTAAAGAAACATTTCATTCAGCTCATTTTCCCCCAGAGCTGTTTTTCCTTTCTCTCTCCATGGGGTTTTCGTTGCTTCTCCATTGCAGACTTCTCTGTCAGGCTGCTGTTCTTCAGGTGGAATTTCAGTTTTTTCCTGAAGGACCACATTTAATGTAGCAGATGCAGCATTGAAAATGTGTTGGGCAGGTAGAGAGCAATTCAGTATTCCCTGAGCTTCTCCATATATCTGGTCAGGTAAGGCAGGGAAGAAGGACTGATCAATTGGCTCTTGGCAATCTTCATTAGTATAAAATAAAGCATGACACAAAATTGTCCTTAGCTGGTGAAACAGACTTCCTTCATCCTGCAGATTTTCTTTTTCCTGGCCATTTAAATGAGGTCTCTGTCTGAAGAAATCACAGACAATAAAACCGTGAGGGCTGGTGAGAGACCATCTAGCTTTGCAAAATCAGCCTTTCCCCTACATTCTGCAGATAAAATTTGGCCAAGGCTACTCTGTCATAGGATTGTTATCCTCATTAGGAGAAAGTGTTAGCAGCATGCTCCTGTCCCTGGTGGGCAGATATGACATGGTCCAAAACTGAGGTGAGTCTCAGTGAGGAGAATTAATGGCAGAGGTAGTAGACCATGTCTGAAAAAGCTGTGTGTAATCTAGTTGGAAAATCTGGCTGATCTAACCTTGTTTGGGAAACATCCGCAGAGATTCATATAGAATATAATATGGCTCAACTGTTCATAAGTGTTCTTTGACAGAGCATTTATCCAAAATGCTTCTTGGAATCTGTTGAGCCATAAAAGCATCGTCTTAAATAACAATGGGGGAAAGAGGAAGAAAAGGCTGTTAAACACCACCAGTAAGAGCATATATTCAGAGGAGATTTAAGAAGCACTTTGGCAGGGGGAGAAAAGTCAACATGGTGCAGGGAAGAGCAGTAAACACTGTAGCAGTCTGGAGCTGGAAATTTTTTTACTAAAACCAACCAAAAAAAAAAAATGCAAAACAGAAAAACCAAGCAAACTATAGCAGAACAGCCGAGGTGTACCATTCCTTGGTTTCTGACAAAGAAATTTTCCACTCAGGGTAGCAGACACTTTCTTCAGCAATTTTCATTTAGTTCAAAGTATCATCTTCCCATGAAAAGCATTTCAACTGGAAATTGTGAAACTATTAATTTAGTGGCTGCTGCAAGCCTTTGAGAAGAACTAAAGATGCAGTAGTGTGAGAGAAGTCCAAGAATAGTCTCTGCTCTCTGGTGTTAGGCTATGTCTGTACACATCATCACAGACTTGAAATAAAGGATGGGGCAGGAAACTTGGCTAAAAGCCAGTGCTTAATGTTGACTTATTTGCAGAGTGGGGCACCTCTGTGTGCACATTCCCCTACCTTGGCAGCAGTGTCTCCTGTTCATGATGTCTTCCCTAAAATTCTCAATTCCTGAGGGAAATGCCCGTGAAAGCAAGAGGGCTTGGACTCTGCCTAGATCAATGTGTGTGTCCTCAGCTGAATGGTCCCACACTGGGTGACTTCTGTTCCCAGATCCAGACCATCATGTTGGGCAGGTTTGCCTGGACTAGAACCCTTATTCCAGTGGGATCTGCTCTGAGCATTGAACATACAAAACTTTATTAAAGTGTAAATGGTTGTGCAGGAATACTGAGTGGAATCAAGAGAGAACGCATGGTTGCCCCCCCATAAGGATTAGATTCTCTGTGAGTTTTCCTGTGGTCTGATGATAAGGTAGATCTGCCAGTTCTAGACAAGAATAAAGAAAGAAAAATAAATTGCATGGCAAAAAAGTCCAGAGTTGCCACTAGACTGAATTACTCGAGGTGCAGAAACAGCAGAAAACGATAGAAATTGTGAATAAAGAGCATTTAAATATATTCACAAGGAACAGCTTTCTGCCTTTAGAAGAAAAAAAGACTTTCAAAACTGCACATCAGGGACTGTATTGTCATTTTCCTGTAACTGGGGCTGTAGCTATCAGAAGTGCTTGGGGCTCCCCCTTAGAAATGAGGAGGCTGCTGCAAACCATTTTGTCTCTTTTTTTATGGAATAGCTTATATTTTATGATTTCTGGGTGAGCTCCAAAAGGCAGTCTAGCCAAACAGAGTACAGCATCGCAATAGCACGACAACTTAATAGTTGTTGTGTTGTTTGTGTTTATGTTATATTGTCATGTTGCTGTAATTGAGAGTCTTGAGGAACCTTTTTGTCTAGCCTTCCTTTTTTTACTCTTCTCTTTCCTATTTAAAAGATTTAATAAAAGCAATTGAAAGGCCCAGAAGAGGAACCATTTTGCTATAGTGACTGTAGTAACAAAATATATACATCGAATAAACAAATAGGTGCTCAACAAATTTTGAGCTGCTTGCAAAGCAGAAATTGTTTTGTGGGTTACAGAGGTTGCAGAGGTGCAGGTGTTTTCATCTTGATTCTTGTGGAGCCATACATGAAGAGGTATTTCTTTGTGCTCAAGCCCAAAAGTGACATTTCTGCTTTACTTCCAAATAAGTTGTATAAGGGAGTCAAGCCCACTTCATTGCATTCTGGCATTGACAATTGAAAAATTGGATAGTGTTCAAGGAAGATCAGCTGGATTCTAATGTGGAGTTTGGGGGGGTGGACAGCACATGGAAAAAATGCAAGGGCTGGAAAAAAAACTGAAGCAGCTGCATGCTTATGTTTTAGCAAAGGGAATTAAAAAAAACCAAAACTATTGTGGACAGACTGTATGCAGAAGAATGAAGAGGAACAGTTTGAGCTGGCACATAGGAATGTTTGAAAGTCTATCAGACAGAATTTGAGGGTGATTTTGGATGAATATCAATGATTCCTTGACAGTGATTTGCAGGACAATTTTTCTCAGGTTAAGTAAGAAGCCCCATTATATGAAAGTAACTTTAGCAAAACACTCATGCTATGTCCTCCTTACTACCAGTACTGTTTTGGCAAAAAAGCAAATGGTCATTTTCTTTAATCTCTCTGTTCCCAAAACAGTATGGTTATTACTATTATTGACATTATCTTTCTTGTTCAATAATAATTCAGCAGCATTACCATAAATTGGTGGAGTATAGTCTGATATGATTTGATTCTGATATGATATGATTTAAATATCATATAGTCTGATACGATATGATTTAAATTCTGCCATCCATTTTGGTTTTAGAAAGGACAAGGGAATTTCTTTTGTAGAAAATAACTAGCACTATTCCTATGTATCAGAAAAAGAAAAGTCTTGGGAAGTGTGAAAAAGGACAAAGACCAAACCTGTTTATGCTTTCAGCTGCATATTGACTGGGTAAAGCCAGAAGATTGTTGGCTTCCTCTGTCCAAAATACTAAGCATGGGTTGTGAAATGGCTGCTCTTTAAGCCAACCAAACTGAATACCTAGAGTCTCACATTTCTGTTGTCTAGTGACAAGTACAAATTTGAGCCAAATCCTCCCTTTCCTAAGGTAGTGGGGAAAAATAAAGTGAGATCTTGTCTGGCTGGAAGAGATAGCCAAGACATAGAGGGGTCTGATGGCTCCAGAATCAGTGAACTAAACAAAGAAAAGTTTATATAAAGTATATTTAGCTGGTGTGGAGCTATTTGGGAACTCTTACTGACTGGATTTCTGAAATCTTCTTGCTCCTCCTGTTGATCTGCCTGGTGGCCCTGTGTTGACCTTCCTGTGCCTCTTCCAGAATTCCACCAAGCTGACTATTGAAAACACCTTCTGTAAAGCTCAATCCCTTTCTGTAAAAGAATCCCTGTTCTATTCATCATGCAGAACAATGCCATAAACACTTGAGAACTTACTCTCACATTGGCTTAATTTGTTCATTTTGTTGCCTGAGGGAAGTGTCCTGAATCTGTTTGCGTGACAGCCTTCAGCAGCGTTCATATTTGCTTCTTATTTTGCTGGCTGTCATCCTTGTCCCCAGATACAGGCATTGGAAAATTAGTGACTGAATCAATATCTCATTGCTTTGCCCTGAGATAAGAAAGGCAAGTTTGGTTTTTTTGGTGTTTTTTTGTGGTGTTCTGCCAACTGGCTGTCCCTGCTCCTCTCTGTCTTCAGAAAACAGAGCTGCATGCCTGGGGTTGGGAGAGAGGAGAAGATGGGAGAAAGTCTCCCCTTAGATGGATTCCAGTGGCTTGAGCAGATAAAGGGCCACAGCTGCTTCACATTTAACTGGAAACAGCCAAACTGCAAGATCAGGCCAGGAAGCACCTGTGTCTATGATGACTCTACTGTTGCTGGGTTCTCAGAATCAGCTCTGACCTTCTGCCATGTGCCAAGCCCTGATGTGCTGCACACCATCCTCTTGGCCAGAAGAACATGCAGCAGTGCTCATTTTCATCAGGCTCTCTCCAAGGATGGGATCAGTGCTGCCTTCTTTCAAAATCAGGGAATTCAGGATGAATCAAATAATTCAGCACAAATTTTTATGTCTGTTTATCTGAAAGTTTGAGAGTTTATTGTAAACTCTCAGAGCTCTGCTGGAGAAATTAATTACTCTTGCTCCTTCTGTTTGCACTTCCTGTCCCAGTTGAAGCAATGTGTCTTTGCTGTTGTAACTTACTCCTGTCCTTCTGTCTGAAGCAAAGAGCTTCCTCCCTCCCTTCTCCCATAGCATCCTGCAGTTGTGGCCCTGGCTCTGCTACTCATCCTTGTCTCAGGGTAGAAGTCTCTGCTCCCCAGGGAATGCTCTCTTCTTCCCCATGG